AGTAGTAGCAGCAGTAACAATAATAACAAAAAGCTCTGATCCAGAACTCGCCCACCTCTTCGCCAGCTCAATGTAATCCGGGAGCTTGAAGACCTGCATGCCATCACCCTAAACCCAAAGCCCTAAACCCTGTTCTGGGGACCGAAGACCATGGCAAAAAAAAAGAAACAGCCCCGGAACGCCGACCTCTGTCAGATGGTCCTTGATGAACGAGAGGCAAGCCTTTACGAGCTGCTGGGCATCGAGCAGATTCGCTTGCTCCAGGATACTGCAGACCTCCGCAATCTTGAGCCCCTGGCAAAGCTGATTCTCACCTGGGCTTCTAGACTTTGCGCTGAGGGCCCAGTAAAAGGGGCGTAACCATCGGACTCGGGCTTCTGTGTCGGAAACCACCATCGACAGATATATATATATATATATATATATGTGTGTATATATATATATACACATGTATATATACAGATAGAGAGAGAAAGAAACCACTAAGCGGGGAATACATGTCTACTTTCTTCCCAAACCCCTCAACCCTAAACCCGAACCCCGAAATCCTAAAGCCCGAAGCCCCTAAAACCCCGAAGCCCGAAACCCCCACCCTAAACCCGGTCAGGCTGCAGGTTTTGAGGGTTAAGCAAAAATTAGGATAAGGGTTTAGGGTTTATGGTTTAGGGTTTAGGGTTTAAGGGGATATCCCATATAAATCCTCTTATAATGAAGCCCAATAAGGTAGGGATATCCCTATAAAATCCTTATGCTTATGTCCTTTTTGGGTTCCTAATCTAGAGCCATGCCCACGGGACCGGAGACGAAGATACAGGGGTTTAGGGCTCAGGGTTTAGGATTTAGGGCTTGGGCTTTGTGGTTTAGGATTTTGAGGTTTAGGATTTAGGGATAAGGATTTAGGAAAGAACAACGAGAAAACCAGTAGAATCAACTCGAGAGCGCGCCGCACTACAGAGCCCAGTCACACCACAGCTGAAGCCTCGTAGTCTGATACCTGTGACTGACTGCCAGCAACGCCTTCATGGTGCGGGCGAGCAGGAGATTGGAGGTTGATGTTCATCCCTATAGGACTTCCGTATGGTATTCCCACGGTTTAAGGTTTAGGGTTTAGG